TAAACATTTCACAGTATAGCAAAAAAAAGGAAGTATACGTTTCCTCCAATCATTTTTCTAAAAATAGTTTTACTAATGTTTCATTTCAGTCTAACTACCCATAACGTGATCATTTATCCTTAATCAAAAATTCTTACATACATGGTCGTCATTAGCCACTCTTCCTTACGCAGTAATAATTATTTGTCATATGTTTCCTTTCTATTAGTTAAGTAGCAATGGTAATTCTACTAGTGATTATTACCGAAGCCTAACGAGATGACCGGTTGGTCTGGTAAAATTTAGGTTCTGAATTTCTTATTTTATTAGGCAGCTTTTTTTATTTTTCTATTTATGTACCTCTTTAGAGGATTTTCATGTATATTTTTACTGAAATTGATTATACTTAATAAATAAAAGCATTACTGTGTCTTAAAAAAAAAAAAAAAAAAATGTAATTAGTTTAGAATAATTTTAGTCTTTTTTGAAAGAGCAGAACCTACCAAATCTGTATATCAAATATGGTAGGAATATATGATTAGTAAATGTCAAAATATTTGCATTCAAATTTCGTTACATTATATTGAAACTTTAAAATTAAAAAAATATATATTTTTTTTTATTTTTTATTTTTATTTATTTAATATATCATTTTTTTTATATTTTTATTTTTATATATATTTTTTATTCCTTTCTGGTCTTTATATTTTTTTATTTATTTTTTATATTTTTTTTAAAATTTTTTTTCTTTTTTTTTTTATTCCCTTTCCTTCAGATTTGTTTATTTTTTTTATCTAATTATTTTTATTAATTTCAAAAATTATTTCATTTAATTTCCCCCTTATTTTTTTTTTATTTTTTTTAATTTATTTTTTTTTCTTTTTTCTTTTTTTTAATTTAATTTTTTCTTTTTACTTTTTTTTCTCTTTTATTTTGTTAATTTTTTTTTCCTTTATTTTTATCCTTTATATTCTTTTTTTTTTGCTTTTGCATTTTTTTTCTTTATAATTTTATTTATTATTTTTATTTATTTTTTTGTTTAAGTTTTTAATACTTTTTCTTTTTCTGAACTTAAATGAACCTGAATTTGAGGTAAATGAGGGTTTTGGATAAATGTTTTTAATTAGAAATATTTATTTCTTTATTTTTAGAATGTCAAATTTGAATTATTAAATGTGAATTGGGTAAAATAGATAACTTGAGATAGTGTAGAATAATTTATTAGTTATACTTTATAAAAAAACTAATATTTACTAATTTACCTTTATAGGACTCTTAAGGTCTTAGTTAGGAATTAGATTGAGAGTAAACATATTTTAGAAATTGATTAATAGTTTTTTTTTAATTTAAAAATAAAACCAACTAAACATCTTATAAGATGATATAGATCCTTAAAATATTGAACTGAATTATTTAATTTGTTTAGTAATTTCTTTTTACTATTATTTTTTTTTTTTAAAAAAAAAAAATTATTTCATATTAATATTTAGAGTTAAATTAAAATAAGAATTTTTTGTTTATATTTCATAATAATTAAATTTTTTTTTTTTTTTGATTGATAAGTGATTAATAATTTTAAGCTTATTTATTATTTTTTATATTTATATTAATTTTTTATTATTTTATATTAGGTTGATTTTAAAAGATTTTATTTTTTAATAAAATTCAATTGATTTATTGTATTTCAAATATTCTTATTAAAGATGGCGTTGCAACATTGTGATGCTTATTTATTACCTGTTGTAACTTAAATTTTAATAATGTTGCAATTTGTTGCAACATTGTGATACTTAATTGTCACCTGTTGCAACTAATTGAGATACCATCTTTAATTCTTATATACTGTATTATATTAAATATATTAAAAATTAAGGGTGGTCATCTATGACTTAAGGTTTGACACATTTCCTCTCTTACAAGTTTTAACTTGCTAAATCCAAATTGATTATGTTAATATATTAGTTTTTCTAAGTTACTAAATTAGAGTTTGAAGCAATCACATTTAAATAATGCTGATGACTTAACAAAGTTTAATTGATAGTTCTGCAATTGCAATTTAATTCACATCTTTTTCCTAAATAATACTTGCTATCTCTATATAGCGTTTAGAATCAACAGTTATAGATTATTTTATATCTAGCTAAATGCAAGTACTGTATTGTATTAAAAAATTTTATTGTTTTATATCATTTATTGCATTATATATTATTCATTATATTACATTATTTGTTTTATATTATGTATTATATTACATTTTATTTATTTATATAATAAAAATTTTTATTATAAAAGGAGTTAAAAAATAAAAAGTATTTTATTATCTATTTAAAAATTACTTACAGTATCTTTTATTATTTTATATTTTAAATAAAAAATTAACAAACCAAAATTCAAAATTCATTATATCTAAATAATTATCTTGACAAGCACGTACACATCAAAATAAAGCTCTTAAGAATATAGATTATATAGATAATATAGATAAATAGATAATTTAGATAATTTAAATGAAATTAATAGTTTAACTGATTTGTTTAATCTAACAAAACATAGAATACAAGGTCAAATAAAAGAATTATTTGCTTCAGAAAAATTTCATTATATAAATCAATTTTGGAAATATGTTAATCTTTATCTAAAAGACTGTATATTATCAAAAAATATAAAAAAACCAATGTGATATTTTTTTAAAAGATTTATTAATTTCAACATTAATTAGAGAAATAACACCTAAAGAAATATTTGAAGGTCTTTAAAATATTTAAGTTTAATTGATAATATAATAAAATATAAAATAATTAATGATAATAATAATAATAAACAAAATGAAAATGAAGATTAATATAAAAATAATGAAGATAATGAAAATGATGAAAATGAAGATAATGAAGATAATGAAGAAGATGATCATGAAAAGGATGATGAGAAGAATAATAATAAAGAGGATGATCATGATGATGATGATGATAATGAAAATGAAAAGAATAATAATCATGATGATAATAATAATATTATTAATAAAAAATCATGAAATTCGTTTAGTAAATAGTTAGGTTTAAAAATCCAATTAAAAGAAAACAATTAAAAAATTTATTAAAAATAAATGGAGAAGACTTTACTATGATTTAAAAAATCAAAAAAAATCAAAAAATAGTATTTGATATTAATATTATTAATAAAAATATTATATCTAAATCATTAATTGGATCAGCAAATCAAAATAATAATACATTGAATAAATTAAAAAATTATTATTATTTAACTAAATCTGAATGGATTGTAGATTAAAATAATCAAACATTAATATATTTAAAAAATATTAATAATAATAATATTATTTTACAAGTAATAAAAGCTATTAATGATTATTATTTTCATACTTTAGATAATCCATCTTATAGAAGTGAATCTTTTTGAAAAGTTATGGTAGAACATTTTGAAGCTTATAGAAAATATACTAGTTTTCCTTATATTAGTACAGATATAGCAAGTAATCATAATATAAATCATTTAAAATGTGTAAATAAGTTAATTATTGTTCTTGAATCATTATTAAATTATGTTAATCAATTTGTCAAAAGGCATTATAATAATTTATACATAAAATTAAGCTATTTTTCTTGGGATCCATTTACATCAAGATTTTTTGGAATTTTTTCAATGATTACTATTAATTTTAATACAATAAGTGATTTTCATTAGGATAAAAATGATGAAGCCAATTTTTTTTGTATTTAATTGCTTTAAAAAATTATGAAGGAGGTGAAATATATTTTCCTCAACTTAACATTATAATACTTTTAAAACTAGAACAAATTTTAGCATTTTATTCTCGTTTATTATTACATATTAATTATATATTAAGTAAAGATATTAGACGTAGTATTATCTATTATTTTATAAAGTAATGTTAGGTTTACCAGAATCTTCTATTATTAAAATCAATAATGAAGGAAATAATTCTTCTAAAGATAATATACAAAAATTATTTAAAGCTCCTAAAAATTTATTCAATAAAAAAATTTAATAATCCAAAAAGATTTTAAACTAAAATGGAATTATTTAAAGATAAAAGAAGATCTAATATTAGTAAGTAATATTTTAAATATTATTATATAAAAATTAAAATAATTTAATTTAATAATAATTTTTTTTAGATTTAAAAAAAACTAGATTTGGCTTAAAAGCAGAAGATAAAATAAATTAATTTTTATAATTTTTTTTTATATATAATTTTTTTTTATTTATATAAATATATGTATTTTTAATTTAATTAATTATAACAATAATAAAATATATTTATTATTAAATTTAATAATTTTACAAAAATAAAATTAAAAATAAAAAAAAATTATCAAAATAAAAATTTTTATTATATAAGATTATAGAATAACTTATAAAAGAAATATAATTGTAATTAATTACTTTTAAAAGATATTAGATTACACTACAACTAAATGCATATAAATTAAAAAATTTTTTATAAGATATTTTCTTAAAGAAGAAATACCTGTACTCAAATAAAACTTTTTATGATATTTTACAAACATTAAATCCTGAGCTATCTGGATTTTTACTAATATATTTTTATGTTAAACTAGAATCAACGAGTGTAGAATTATTATGTTTATGATCAAGATCTTCATGTTGATATAATCATTCATAAGGAAAGTAGATTTTTTTTTACTGTTATTAATTTTTTATTTTATTTTATTATAAAGATTATCCATAGATAATCAGAATATTAATATTATTTGATGTCAAACTGAATGGAAATTATAGGTTTTTTTTTACTGTTTCAGGTTAAATTTTTTTATTTCATAATATTATTCATTTAAATTATTTAAGAGAAATTCCTTTCATTATAATAATTGTGAGAGAATGGATAAATATTTCTTGCAAATTAACATCAAAAGATTTTTATCATGTTTACCTTTTTTAAAAAATATAAAAAAAATATAAAAAAAACTCAAGCAGTAATAAATTTAAAATTCATATTAATTATTCGATTAACAAACATCTCATTTGTTAAATTTTCTTAATAAAATCATGGTCACACTATTTTCAACAGTAACATTTGATGAACTAAAAGCATCAATCCAATTTAAGAAATGATATATCAATTTAAATATTTGCAAGACTTATAAAATATAATCATTTAACAATTTACTTTGATGAAAGATCTACTTGAATTTTGAATATGGATAACAAAAGCTGAATTATCAGATTAGAATCTTCTTTCAGAAGTTTTGAGTTGCCTTCAATAATTATTTGATTATCATTATCTCCAATAAAAATTTTTAGATCTGAGCTCTTTTCAATTCTAGGAGTGTTCATCTTGAGTAAAAAAGAATTTTGCAATAAAGAAAAAATATCAGTATGTAACATTTAATATTGATAATTCAAATTATATTTAATCAGAATAAATACAAACCCATTTATATCATATAAGTTGTATCCTAAAGATATAACATGACTAGTTTTGAGATTCTTATTTAAAACTGAATCTTGATCTAAAGGACTTTCATTAAAAATCAAATCTTGATCTAAGGGCTATTTACAATTAAGAAAATCACTAGTGCCGTTACTTTTTCCATTTGGACTGATTATAGATTGGAATGAAGAAACCAAATCAGCAGATGGAGCATGAAATCTTTGTGTACATTCCGAATTCTAGAAAAAAAGGAACATAAATAAAAAGTCTTATGAATGTCTTAAAATTACTTTTGCAGTATAGGTGTTGTTAATACTTTTTTTTGACCGAGAAAATGTTAACTTTATACTATGGGATGCATTGATAAGTTGGTTTTGCACTTGCTTTAAGAAATCTTTAGTTTCTTCTATTATCAGAAAGTGTACATATGCAAAACTAAAAAACATTTAAAAACATTTAATTGATAATTAAAAAAAAGCAATTGAAAAAGTAATGATCTTTCAGGAGAAATTAAAAATCACTTATATATACTTATTACTTGGTTTTTTAGAATGTGAAATTGTTTTTCTTGTGAAATAATAGATATAGACTGCACTAGCTCTTCTCTTGTTATTCTAACCAGATGACCATCACCATTGACCCTGATAAATACAGATCTTTCGCTGTTACAACAAACTGCCTGAATTTCACCTGAAATGAAATAGATGGATGAATGAATGAGTGAACGAATGGATGACAGAACGAATGAATGAATGAACAAATGATTGAATGAATGAATGATAGAACGAATGAATGAATGAACGAAAAAGTTTCTATGTTTGTTATAAAAAACAGTTCCTCCTCCAGAACCAGTAGACCTTCGTCATAGAAACTTCCACAGAAGAGGGTATGAATAAATGAATAAATAAATGAATGATAGAACAAATGAATGAGAGAACGAATAAATGAATGAACGAAAAAGTTTCTATGTTTGTTATGAAGAAAGATACATAACCAGTTCCTCCTCCAGAACCAGTAGATTTTCGTTATAGAAATTTCCACAGAAAAGAGTATGAAAGAACAAAAAATGAACAAACAAACAAACAAACAAATGAACAAACGAACGAACAAATGAACAAACGAACAAACAAACAAACTACTAAATCAGGTAAATAGTAGTGTTACTATCAAATTTTTCATCCAATAAATTACGTCAAAGTAATAAGTTGGTGATGACGTATTACTACCACAATTACATGAAAAAAAAATTTTTCTGAGATCGTACTACGCATATTTGATCCTCACATGATAAGTATTGTTAGCATATTCCATTTCATTCGCACATGAAATGAAACTCACTCAATGATGGGGTATACGAACTCATGAAGGTTTTTATTAAATCATGTATGGTATGGATTTTTATGTATGGAATGTATGGTTCCAATTTATGTATGATTTTTCCATACCGGTATGATTATTCGCCGCAAAAACCATACTGGTATGGAATTTTCAATTTTCAATCCATACCGGTATTGAATATTTATATATTAAAAATTATAGATTTGAACACAAAGAAAAATAATAAGTCGCGTTGGTATATTTTAATGAGTAAAATCAGGTGTTAAGTTTAAGAAAATTTTGCGAAATACTGTATTTGTCATACAAACCATACATTCCATACATAAATACCATACATGATTGCTATATACCCGTTCTAAAGGTGGAAGATTTACGTTTCATTTGCAAAGTTGGATAATAGATGATCCTTCAAAAATAAAATTTTATATTTTATTTGTAAAATAATTATAACAATTATTTATTATCTTAGTTAAAAATGAAACAAATAATATGGCAGTTTATTAAATGATAAATTTACATTGTAATAATACTTTTTTCGCTAGCATCTTTAAATTTTTCTTTAAATATTAACGATATAAATCGTGCGAAAATAATTTTTTAAAAAAAAAAAAAAAAAATTTCAAATACGAGGAAAATTATAAAAGGAAATGGTTGTCCTATTGAGAAACCTTGCGAATGAACATTAACCCATCGAAACCAGGGATCAATACATTTGTAGTTCTTGGATCTTTTGTAACGTGTTCATTAAACCTGTTTAAACTCTTTGCCATTTCATACAAAGGTTTCGGTATATGATTTTCACTGGTTTCTGGTGCATTCGGATCAAAATGAGGTACTTTTTGCACAAATCCAAAAAAAAGCGCTTTAAACAATTTTACACGAAATACGAGAATAAGTATATATATTTACTTTTCATTGAAATAAATTATAACAATTATAAATAAATTATATACCATTGTCGGCTATGATAACTCCATTGCTAGAGAGAAGGTCACGATCGAGAATTGTTTCATAATAATCGACGTATCCTGATTTGTTCGCATCTAAAACATTTATATTTCTTTTTTAATTTTTAATGTAAAAAAAAAGGGAAAAATAATTTGCAGATGTTTCCCTACCAATAAAGATCAAGTCAAAATGGGTGGATCTTTTAATGCTTTGTAACCTTTAAAAATAAAAATGATTTTCACGTAAATATTCCCGAATAAAGATCAAAAAGATTGTACAGTTCATAGATACTAACGTGTTCAAACCATCTCCAACCCTAATCTCAATAAAGTCTTCCATATTGCTTTCTTTTACATTCTGTAAAGCAAATTTGGCAAACTTTTCATCTTTTTCACAACTAATAACTTTTCCTTTATTATCTTTAATACCCTCAGCTAAACATAATGCCGAATAACCTGTAAAGCAACCTAATTCTAATACTTTACTCGCATTCATTATTTTACAAAGAGTAGTTAATAAAGATCCTTGTAAATGTGGTGACATCATATGTTCTTCTGAGGGATATTCTTTCTGAGTTTTTTCAAAAACCTTTTGTATATGAGGAGGTGGTGGCGTTGAATGTGCTAAGGAATATTTGCCCGATTCCTTGAGTAGAAATGCATTGGATGCATAACGTTGTGGACTACTGTGAAAACATAATTGTTGTTGTGATAACTTGATGTGAGAAGTCTGTGAGCGCAAAATAATTCGGGAACATAAAAAGAGAGTTCTTAATGACATTTTTCGTATATACCGTAATAGACCCTAGCGATCACATCGCATCTTTATATGAAAAAGAGAAAAAGGGTACTAGTATTTATTTAGATAGTCCGAAATTTAAATTTATTTTTTTTAAATTATTAATGATTTTTTTTTTTTTAATTAAATTCTTAATTTGATAAGAAGTTCGTTCTGCATATGCAATAATAAGCAAAAACGTGTCCTCTAAA